GGGGGGGGGGTTACTTGAGGCAAAGCATAACCAGAGCAGAAGGTGGCTGTGTCAAGGGAACTTGGTGGGTATTTAGTCACAATAAGAATTTTCCCAAAAGCTTAACAGTACTATGGGCATTTCATGTCAAGACAGGAGCTGAGAATCATCAATGAATGTACAAACACTCCATCAAGGCTTCCTGGCTTCAGATCAAGGTCTATTAGAGTTTACACTTCATTAATATTCGCCAGAAACGTGTGAAAAGAACTTCTGAGATGCCCCTAAAGGAAGCTGTGAGATTAATTAAGAGAAAAAAAATCTCTAAATTGTAGGAAAATATGTATTATAAAAAACAGAAACTATTTCCAGTGGGTGAGACTGGATTTCTAAACTGCAATGTCATGAAATTTAAAACAAAGGACTGATGAGTTTACAAAACTCCCACTGATCAAACGAGGCCTCCACACTCCAGCTCCCACATTGACATGCACGGACATGCACAGCACCTCGCAGAGATTCGATTGGACGAAGTGAGGTTATGACTGAAGGGACATATGGTGATTAAATGGCTCTTATCGCTGGCCATATGGGTCCTATCAGTCGTGGTGGTGAAGGGCTGTCCCTTGGGGACACACAGGCTGCAGAAAGCAGGATAGATGGATGGCCACCCTTCGGTGCCACCTGCTGTGTCTCCTCAGACAGATGTATCACACTGTATGATTCCCAAATGTATCCATTTGTGGCAGCATTCTCTTGGGAGCTTTAACCTATTGGGTTTATACTAAAAACCTATTGACCAATGAGTGTGACTCCCAAATGCATCATAGATGCAGCTAATAGACCATTTGAACTAAATGAAAAAGACAGAGCTTTTTTTTTCATTTTTTAAGCTCTGGCAATTCACAGTTAACAAAAGAGTAAATTCTCCTAAATTCAGATCAACAATGCTATTTTCTGGAATTACAGGGGTCTTTGGTTTACGACTTCCCTGACCTACAGTGTTTTGTGGTTGTGTTGTCATCTCCCAAACATTTATTAAAAAAGTCTTGTTCCACCATTCATTTTAGTTGCCTGATGTTAAATATGTAACAGCATTGTCTGTCTTCTGTGCTGACAGTTGTCCTATAAGTAAATTGTTTGAAAAACTCAACAAATCATAGTACTTATAGCAGTGGTTCTTAAACTGTGGTACACGTACCACTGGTGGAGCGCTCTCAAGTGGTACACTGGGGAAATTCATATTTTCACATTAATACAACATTTAAACATAAACATCTTTCTAAACACCTCTTCTGTGTGGTGGAAGCTAATAGAGAAGGCCTACGCTACTATATTCTAATGTTGGTCATCATGGTGGAACTTATAGAGATCAATGTTTTCTCAGGTGGTACAGAGTAGAAAAAGTTTGAGAACCACTGACATATAGTATAGAAGTACATTATATTGCAATATGTTGTTTTGTTATCCCTGTATCTAGTACGTAACAGTACTGTCAGATTTTTGTCAATAATAATAATAATATGATAATAATAATAATGATAATTTAACTTCATTGATCCCCTAGTTGGGAAACTCCAGCCCCTGACAGGCACCATTCCTCTGGGAATTGAACCCAGAATTCTCTGCTCTCTTCTTCCCAGGCAGGTGTGCTAACCCCTATGCTACGGAACCAACACAACAGTAGAGATATCAATACACACCATGATAAATTTCCCTTTCAAAACAGGGACTAAGGGGTTTTGTGGTAAAAAGAGGGGAATTTGCATCTTTGTTGTCTTCTCCTTTCAAAATTAGTACAGTATTTGTTCCAACACAGTAATGTTTACTGTGCCTCAAAGATGAGAAAAGATAACATGTTGTTTCAGATCTCCTTCATGATTTTGAGCAGATTTGTTTGGTCTGGCTGAACAAAAGCTTTTGTTTTAGCAGGTGGCTGTGAGACAGAATAAAAGTATCAAAAGTAGGAAAGTACCTCTCATCACCTGCTGCTCGAAACACTTTGAGAACGGCAGTAACAAGTTTGTCAGCCACAATGTATGGCTGACGACTAAGGAGCAAAACAAGTGAAAAGAAAGGCGAAAAGAACGAATGGATTTGTTACATGTACAGTGATGAAGGATTGTGACTATAGATATGTAAGAGAGGAGAGGAAAGAAATGTTTTAGATAAGAGATAAGAATGTTTTTTAGTTATGGACAGGTTTTGGAAATTAAACAAAGAATTAAACAAAATGTTTAACTACTTTTTTAAATTGTTTTTATCACATGTTAGAACTCAAACAATAATAACTGATGGATAATTATTAGCAGCAAGTATTTGTGCCTCGTAGGGAGGACAACGATGTTGGACTTTGGGGAGAAAAAAAACTTGATTTTGACAACAATTCAACGAATTACCTGATTGACAGGCTCGTTAAAGTTTGTGATGAGACCTGCCCGCAATGATGTCTTCTCCTCTTCTGATAATGCACTGTAAAAAGAAAAGAAAAGAAACAACAACACAACTACATTTAATTAAAGCATGTACCTAAAATATGGACATCACAAAAACACAATGGCGAAAACTTTTGCACCTTTTTGCATAATTCCATGCTTGCAACAATAACAAGAACTGTAACGTAACCGTAACATAAGCAAATAATGCATAGGGACAACATGAAAATGTTTCTTGTGTTTTTTCAATGTTTTTAACTCAGGCTCTCTTTGCTGAAGACGGTCCACAAACTAATTCACCCAGTCTCACTTTGACAACAATGTGCCAGCTGCCCTGGCATTGTTGGATGCAGCTCTTATCCTAAGTGACTCATTAAGTTTTCATTTCAAATTCTACACATGCAAGCCACAAACTTTAATATGGTGATGATATGAATTTGATATCAATCTTTAGTTGTTATGGGATCAATTAAATCCCTAAGTAAAACTCAGTAGTACTCGCCCTGCCAGCAGCTTGGTTTAATCATTAAGTTTAGATAAAGCGGCCACTTTCCTCCAACTCATGTGTTGTAACAAGCAAATTATTTTTCCAGGGTTCCAGGGTTTTCAAATTATTTTAACAGGGTAAAGGATGTCTGAAATAACATAAATAAAAGATCAGAATTTATAATGTTTACTTCAAGGGTTTCCGAGCCATGGCATTGGTGAGTGTTTGATGTGTTGAATAGTGAAGAATAAATCACGCTGTAACCTTGAGCGAGCACATACGGGTGGGAAAAACAAATTACCAGGAACAGAGAGTAAGATTTACAGGTAAGATTTACAATACAATATTTTGGTAATGTTCAAAGTACGATGAGGATTTCAGAAATAGTGGGTGAAGTGCTACAATAAAGATTTACACAAGTTTAGTACAACACAAAGTTTCCCAACTAAAGCTACACAATCCCAAATATGTGTGTCAATCTCTTCAATAAACAACAATGAGGTAAACAGACAAGGACGGATAATAAATAACAAAGGTTTACGATGTGCATTCTATTATACTATATTAATGTATTTGCTATAATGATGATGTATACAGGAGGTCCACAGTTTACAGTGTCATCGACCTACGATGTTTTGTGGTTCTCCCATAAATGTATTCAGAAAGTCTTGTTCCATCACTTCAACGTATGGCGTTAAAACAAATTTCGCATGGGAACTATGTGTGACTCTATGTTTGGAATGCTTTAATGTGTACAGTAATTACAGATGAAAACTTTCCATGTAATTCCACCTACATGTTGTAGCTCAATAGAACATGAACTGTTCTGTTCCCCACAAGGCTTCAAACTCTCAGGTTAAAAGCAGGGATACAAGGCAAGGGCAAAATAGAAGAAAAATCACTGACTTAACTCTTCATAAAAGTAAAGACGCAAGAACTGACACTGGGATTTTTCTGGACTAATCAAAAGAATGAGCAACCTAACATCTTACTAATAATAGATTTATATTTGGTTAAAGCTTGTATTGCTGTGAGAATTGATCATTTTAAAATTCTAATGACAGATTATCCATACTAAAAAACATGTCATATAATCACGAACACCTGTACAGTCTGGGTCATTCAACTTTTACTTCATGAAATACTTGGTAGATTGCTGCATTTTAACATTTTACTTCAAAATAACTTTAACAGGGAAAATGATTTCTCTTTAAAACACTAGAGAAAAATTCTAAAGTGAAGGTGAAAAAGAAAAAAGAAAAAAAGAGAAACAAGCTTGTACTCACTGAGGTGCTACTCTCCTCCAGTATCTGTCGATGCCATTCTTGAAGTACAGCACAGCCAACCACCTCACATTCACATCAAGCATGTGGTTGTTGAAGATATTCTGGTAAGAAGAGGTCAGAAAGATGGATTTAAAAAAAATCTGTAAACATCAATATTGTGGGGGTCGATAAACTCCTGTGAAAGGAGAGCTTGCATACGTCTTCATGGTGTTTTTCTAACAAGTCTCTGGGTCTAAATGAAGAGCTAACTCAATTCTTCATGGTAATATCCTTTCTGTTGTTGCCACAGTCAGAACCATTTGAGGCTGTGGTGAAAGGAAGTAGTCTCTCTGCCACACAAAGGAGTCTTAAACTGAAATGATCTGAGAGCCACTGCCTATCTGAAAAACCCAGATATTTAAGAAAAAGACAATTTATGAAATACTGTGTAATTCCAATGCCAACAGCTAGTGCAAATCAAATATTTTTATTTATCTTAATTTATTATCCAACAAAGGTACATTAACATGAAAATTGAAACTTTTTTTTTTAAATACCTCAGGGGCAAAATTAAATTATCATCAATTTCATTTAGTTGCAGGCTTGATTTGGGAGATTTGGGCTGAAAGTTTTCCCAGAGCAAAGTGTTTTAATAAGCAGATTGCAAAGTACTGCTTTTAAAGACTGAATGTTCCTATTCCTAATGTCACTAGTCACAACTTCAGTTGTCAAACAAAATAAGCAAAAAAAATTAAAAAGTTCAACATAATTTGCAGCTTTATGCTTCCATGTCTTACTCACATAGGTGCTGATACGTCTGTCGTTTTCTGCTGACACTCTTATTACCACATGAATTAAATGCCGGCATCTACAGTGGAAAAAGCTTTTTAACACCACACCACATCTGCAGCGGGTGTTAAAATGAGTTTTGACTTGTGGAATACGGAAGTCAAAGCTTTCAATGTACATCATTTCCCAGTGTCACACCATTTGTTGACCCTACGTGCTTTCTAGATAGGACATGCCGAGTCGCTCTCATGGATGGCATCCTGAAAAAGACGCCCCCTCCCATCAACAAAGTGTTCCCACTATTACTCTTCAGATATCTGGCTGAGAAGTGTGACAGAATTCTCAAAGTCATCCTGCCGTTTGCTGCAGTGGCAGAAGGTCCATAAAGAGCAGTGAAATAATATCAGAGATTGGATTCTTGGCTCTAACAGTTCCATGCTTGGGGGGGGGGGGGGGGGGGAAAAATTTTAAATGAAAGAGGGATTATAGTTTTCTTTTAATATCAGTGTCCCTGAAGACCCTCCATTGTGTATGAATAGAATAAAATACCAATAGCAATACCTTAGCGAGACTGTTTACCTGACTGTAAGACTGTAGCCTCCCAGTTAATGTTTATGATATGCATCAGTGCAACTGCTGTTTAGCTGGCCAAGCAGAAATGTGATTTATTGATGCTGTCCTCCCTGTGCTGTCACTGTAGGGAAGCACAGAGACATAATTCTCTTGTGCTGAATTTAAAAAAAGGAAAAAAAAAATAAGTGCATCATGGGAGATAATAACGGGCTGTGGACCAGAACAACATTGCCAGGTTCACAGAATGAAGTGTAAACACAGTTTGTCAACATTTTCAAAAACACGACACTCAGCAATAAAACAACACTTGACAAGAATCAAGCCAGGACTGTGGCAGGAATTAAAGTAATTACCATCAAATTAATTAACTTTTTGGCATGGTTGTTCCTCTAGAACCCTGAAGGAACTAAACATGTGTGCGTTTTGAATTCCATTCATCATTAACTGAAGAATTCACATGCTCATCTGAGACTGTCACAAAAAAAAAATCATTGTGCCTACTGTATTGCAGTATATCTTAATATATTGTATTGCTGTTAAAAAGGGTTTTGTTTTCACCTCCTGTAAACCAATAATGACTTTTGGGAGTTTCAATTAAAACTATTCCTTCTTCTACTGTTTTCTTTGGCTCAAACTTAACCCAAACCAACATGAAATGCATATGAGACAATGGCAGTTTTTGTTTTGATACAAACAGAGTGGGCAGTGTTGAACAAATGAGCCCCTTGCTGAAGAGAAATCAATACCATAACAGCAACAACCAACTTAATGCGATATGCACCACACTGTTATTTGTCCTCACCAGAAGGACGGAGTAGAAGCCTGGCTGAGTCTCCCACTGTCTGAGCTGCTCTTCTGCAGGTTTAAGCACAGCTGTGTCCTGGCTGGTAGCTTGGGTTAAGGCTTGCAGCACCACTGAACTGGCACTATCCATATCCATGTCTGGATATATCTGCAAAAACACAAGTGAAGCAGAAAAGGGGAGCGGGGTTAGTTGGGGGAAGGGGGTCAAGGAAAAACAAAAATGTGTCTGCCTATTGAAAACCTATTGAAAACCTATTGAAAACATCAATATGTACAATAGACAAGTCACAAGAGGCCAAAGAAGTTCATATTTATAGCAAAGTATGGTATGCTTCTGACAGATTCTGAGTGACCTTTGACCTAAGCAGACTTTTTTGGGAGGTGTTTGTACCAGCTTATAAAACAGCTATTTCTCATAGTCAGCTCTGAGCGCAATGGCGTTCATTTAACAGCATATCCTTCTTTGACTGTCAAGACATTAAAAGGAAATTAATGTGTATATTTCATATGTACACATAATTTTTATTTTCTCAGGCGAATGAAGGACTGAAGAGCTGAAGTCTAAAATCCCAAGAGTATTGGTTAAAAAAAAATCATTTGCAGTAATGCTGTAAACATTGAGCAAGACTGCCCTCTACAGTCCAGAACATATATTTTACACCATTTCTTTTTCATATTTCTAAGATGTTAGCACACAGCCATTTGTGAACAAACTCGTCAAGTAAACTAGGAATGTAATAATTTTAAAAAACAGGGTAATAGAATATGTATTTTTTTCAGTAATATTAAGTAAAATTAAGTAGCATAGTTGGCATATAATTGAGACAAATGTACAAACATTTAGAAAGGTTCCTAAGGTTTCAATATCTTAAAAAAAAGGAAACAGCCAGAAAACAAGAAAATTAGTAAAAACATGTGTTTGTTATTATATTACTGAATGGATATAATCATTAGTAAAGAAGAAAGAAACAAGGTAGTCTCCAGTCAACACAGAAAGGCTCAGGTAACACTATACTTTAACTATGAAAGATCTTTGTCTTAGAGCCAACTCACCATCTCAGAGACAAACAGGTATGTATTTTCATACATCACAGTGGTTTCCTGTTTCTATGTGAATAGATTAATAATACATCTCTAGAGTGTTGTGTATGTACATGTAAAAGTAATTAATAATTAACAAAAGCCCTATTTAAATAATTCTATCTTTCAAGTGTCGTTATCATCAGCAAGGAAACAGAGGTAAATGTTTTTATGCAGCTCCTCTGTTCACTAATAACTGCAGACATTTGACATTGGTATTTTGGAAAATCTTGTGATTTTTGCTGTGATGCACTGCCATCACTACGTCACATGTTCAATGTTCAAACAAAACTTAAGCAAATGTGTTACTTTATGAAAACATTTCACACCACAATTACTGCTGGCTTGTTTGGTTTGTTTTACAAACCTGTAAAAGCCTTAACTTTCGTTGCGACAAGTTAAAACTAAAAGTACTAATTTTGATACATTGTGATTAGAGAGAAAAGACAAATATATAACCTTTGTGGCTTTGGAAAAATACACATTTTTAATGAAATTTAACATTTGAAATGAAACATTTAAGCGTTGTCCATAAATTTAATAGGTGGGATTTCGGGTCATACTGCCTAACCTTTAAAAGGAGGTTTTTAAATGTCACTACACTGTTTATATCAAATACATGAGTGTTATGTCAATACCAAAGGTCTAGGGTTACAGCTTCCTGAGCAAATATGGAAACCATGTATCGGGAAATGTCAGAACGTGCTCCCACTCTGACGTCAGTCCACTCATGTTTATACTAACACATGTCACTGTCAAGGCTGCAGACAATTCACACCGGTTATACTGTGCACAACATTAAGCCAATATGTTGAGGGAAATATTAACACGGACTGAATTGTCAAGTAAAGGTATTGACAAAATAACCTGACACGTGTGCATGTAAGTTGCGCTAACGCCAAGAACGACCTGTGTTGAAATTGTTTCTCACAACACGAAACAATCATATTTTGACGAAAAAACATGAATCAGATTTATTTCTATTATTTTAAGGGATGCATGACCAAAATAAACCTAGGGTGAGGCTGCAACGGCGACATACGCAGCAGATTTTATTTGGATGTGAGTTTTGATAGCGTTGGAGGGTTATCTATGTGATTTGACAGTCGTCGGCTGTCAATTAAATGCATCAACTGCACATTAAGGGAAGACACGGTTTTCTAAAAACCTTTTAAAAATGCACATATAGCACAAAAGCTAAGTTTTCGCTAACTAGCAGGCTAAACATATCCAAAGCTAAACCAGGGGCCGACAACGTCTGATATATTAAATATAACATTTACTATGTGAACCGGGTAATATTGAATATACGGGTAGACTTACCCAGGAATGTGGCAACGGGAAATTGAGTATATTCCTGTTACAACCTTTGTTTAAGCTCCGTCAGTGATAAATGTAATGGGAAATGTTGGAAACACGCTTGTGAGAATGGCGCGAGCAAGACAGGAGTCGCATAGTGATGACGTATGAACTCGGGGTCGCCGGGTATTCTATCAGATTTGCATTCCCTGTTAGGTTTGTATGCTTTGTGTACTCAGTTTTCGCCTGATTGGAAGTAGTTCTGCTTCTCAGTTAAGTGTGTAGCTAGCCCAACATGGATCATTCACTTTTTAACTGTGTTAGAAACCCTTTGATTTATTTTGTTCTGATTTGTTTTTCCGTCACAATCTTCTTGAGAAGTGCATTATTCATTGGACAATTTCAAAAGAATTTGGCTAGATAGGAACATCTGTAAACTTATTTTGGAAGAAGAGCGTGTTAAAATAATGTTAAAGTGAGTGTTGAAGAATAAATTAAAATGAAACTGCTGATGTTTTACGTTGCTAGATGTAAAATAACGATCACATTCTTTCTGCTTTATTGAAAATGTTTATTTCTGAAAACCTTGTGTGATTATCTTCTCATTAATGACGATAATAATAGTTGTATACTATAATGCAAAATTTTGTATTCTGTCTTTTTTTAATTCATGTTCTTGAGTATTTTGGGAGGTTCGCTCATAATGTATGTGTGTGTTAAGACATCCGAACTGTTGTGTTTACCAGTGGCCCTCAATATACTAGGCACAAATATTTTAAAACAGAATTAGTAAAAAAACGAATTGATTTTTAAATTGTCTACATTTTAGAAAGCAATGAAGACTGCATTAACACCACACTATGGTAAAATAGTAGTTGTAAACTCATACCTCTGTTTCTAGTGTGCTACAAACCCTAAAGAATGTGGAAAAGCCCATAAAGAATGTGCAATAACACCTTTAAAACCAGAACCAGACTAATGACTGTCATTGAATAAATTATGTAATTTGTTCAATTAATGAGTCACAAATTAATTGCAGGTGGTTTAAATAATGTTTAAAAATTGTCACTAAACAACTTGTGCTCATCGATTAGAAATAAAAAAGGCATTTTGCAGATACAATCAAACGATACATACTGGATTATTATCATTAACATCACACACTTGTACCATTCTACCTAATCATAAAAGAATATGAATTATGGCCCACAAGATGGCGCTTTACTGCACAACTACTTCAGGCTCTAGACATAAATTACATTACATTACAATACATTTAGCAGACGCTTTTATCCAAAGCGACTTACAATTTTTGTCAGTCAACCAATCAAGCTACAGTGAACATACAAAATACATAAATAAAAGGGCCAAATGGAGGGCCAAAGGAAGCTCATAATTTCACTGGGGACACTTCATTATCGGTTTGATGTAGAATGCTGGGCAAAAATAATTTACATAAGATGGAACATTTGAAATATGTCGCCATTTAGTGGCGTTATCTCAAATTATAGTGGATTTGTTGGAACCCAGGAAATTAACATCAACCTTTACCATGCCCTGTACCAGTGTTTGGCGGATCGTATCTGGCCCACGGGACATAGTTTGCCCATGTCTGATATTAAATTTTGGTGATGAACATAGACCAAATACTCCTGTGACGTTCTAGTGATTAATTTCCGAGGATATAGAGGCTCATTTAAAGCACTGCTTATTATAGCGTTACCCAAACCGGCACCGGTGTTGATTGACTTCCATTAAAGCTTGTGAATAAAATGCAATTAAAAAAATAAATTAGAATGACTAATTTGCAGTATCCGGGAGCTGAGCCACACGATAATATAAAGAGGTATTTTCAGCTACATCGCTCTAAAAGGTCGTTCAAATTGTTTCTATGCGAAACCGCTCTGGACAATGGAGAGCATTTGGAGATAAATCACCAGCGAACGTGCAGCCTATGCTGTGTGAAATGAGTGGAGAGCCGCCGTAGGGCGCGGGGCGAACGACTGTTGAATATCCGATTTGAAATTGATGTCTGTGCGGTACACAACGCCGGCTTTCTCCGTGGCAGCACTTTGTTTTTCTAAAGCCATCTTACGCCACATCGCAGATATTCTCCATCGGTCTCATCTCTGGGACACTCATTCACCATAGTTGATCATTTGCTGCCAGGTTAAGTGTTTTATCCAGAACCTACGGTCTTCGTGCGTGTGAATACTTCCTGCTGCAAGCAGAGAAAGGAGAAGGCGCCGCTCAGTGCTCACCAAGCGGCTAATGGCGGAGGAGATGGTCAGTGTCTTAGAGGAAAACGAAGCGGAGAGCAAAGAAAGAGTGGAGCAGCCAGAGAAAAAGAGCTGCCGTCAGAGGAGGCTGCTTCATGTGGAACCAAAGCCCGAAGGCGGGCTGCACTCAGCAGGCAAGTTCCTGCTCAGTAGAGAGTCAGACAAGCCGAGTCGCCAGCCTGGCTCACTTTTGTTTTACGGTAACCTCGACGCCATATTGGCCATAATAAGACAAAATCGTAAACAAGCACAAATGAATGAATGGGGGGCGTAGTTTTTACGTTTCTCGGATTATCCAGCGTTAGTCTCTATTCAAAGATTGGGTCGTAGAACAGCGTCACAGTTTATGATGTCGTTATCGTTGGTGAAAAAACAATTGAAATATAAATTAAGTGATTAATTACAATTGTTTTCATTACATTGAAATTTAGTAAAAATGACAAATGGGAAAAGAATTAAAGAAATTAATTGAAAGCGTTATCATCTTTCTAATCGTTTGACATATCAGTGAACAGTCATTCAACGTGTGTGACCAGTCAGCAATGTACAATGATAACCGTAATGTTAACAATTAAACGTAATAATATTTGTAATTATTGCCAGTAAATTGTAAATGATTAAACGTGTGATTGAAAACCATTACATCAAAGTGAAAGGAGGTAAATCAGTTAACAAGGACCAGTTAGCCTTAAATAATACTTTTGATCCATTAGATAAATTGTTAGGTTTTACGAAAAGAAAACCTGACCAGTGAGACTGATTGACATCAATATTGCCATATTTCATAAATTCACAATTAACTGCATTACACTGTGTATATTGTGTATGACATTAATCCATCCTAGGAACACAGGAGAAGCTAGACCAAATTCCAGTTTACCAATCCATTAGAGGGCCACAGTCATATTCACTTTAAATTTTCAATCAAAAGGTTTGGTATACAGATGTAAATCTCCTGGCAATGATTTATTTCATTGTTTTTGCCGTGCACTGCAATTTAACAATTGTAATTTCCGTTTATGCCACTAGATGGCGGCATACACAACATACACCTTTTTTACACACATTTTCATTTGTGCACAAATGAATCGAGTATAGTATTAGTATTAGTATTATTAGTATACTAGTATATTTATAATACATATAATTCTTTAGGTCGGGTTTCATTAAATATGGAATTATCTGGAAGGCAGTGTCATATACTTGCACATGTTTCTGAGTACCAGTAGGTAAAAAACAGTGACAATTATGCTCAGGGCAAGAGAGCTACTCTTGCCCTGAGCAAAATTGTCACTGTTTCTTTTTTAGACATAAACGACAGCATTACAGTATAGTATCACAATGTGTTCTTGTGTTTTCTACTGTGGATTCCTCCCACATTCAAAAACCCCTCCACTCTCTCCTGCAGATTCCGAGCAGCCATTGGTGATTAAAGAAGAGGACTGTTGTTCTGTTGTGTTCAAAGAGCAGTTGGAGTACACCCACATCAAAGAAGAAGAAGAGGAGTTCTGCATCCAGAAAGAGGGGGCTGATAGCACTGCTATAATGCTGAAGATTAAGAAAGAAGAGAGTCAAGATTCAAAACACCTTTCCAAGAGTCACACTCAGGAGAGCTGGGAAAACTGTGGGAGATCGGAACAAGCAAGGGACTCCTACAGAAACATTGAGGCTGAGGGTCATACTGAAAAATCTTCTGAGGCCGAAGACAGTGATGATGAGCAGGAGACGGCCAGTAAATCCCTATACTTGACAAATGACACTGTGACAACTGACAAACCTAGCCGTTCTGACTGTGATAAAACATTATTCAATGGGGACTGCTTAAAGGCAGAAGAAAAGCAGAGCTCAAAAGAGGAAAACGCTGACATCATTGCTGTGATTGTAAAGGTGGAAGAAGACGAGGAAAGACCTGAGTCCACCCACTTTCTTCAGACTCCAACTGTAGATGTTAAGGATAACTATAGAAAATCTAAAATAGCTAGTTGTGCTAGCCAGAATGAACGAACACATCGAACACATACTGAAGGTGATACATTTTCTGAGACAGAAAATAGTGACAATGATCTTAAGCAGAGTAGCAACCTAGAAAACCTTAAGATTTTAAAAAATAAAAATTCCACTGAAACAAAATATGACACTAGTTATGAAGTCAGCTGTTCCCGGTTTGGTAAAACCTCGAAGGAACATGAGAATAATAATACGGAAGAAAAATCATGTAGTTGCATGGACTGTGGTCAAAGATTTATCAAACATGGTTATATAAAATTACTTGAATCAAATTATTCTGAAGAAAAGCAAGAGTATTGTACAAGAATAATAAAAAAGAGAACTCGAAAAAGAAATGGGACAAATTCTTTAGGAAGGAAATCATTCAGTTGTTCTGAGTGTGGTAAAAACTTTACCCAGAAGAGCAGTCTGAGGACGCATAAGAAAATTCATACAGGAGAAAAACCATTTAGCTGTTCAGAGTGTGGTAGAAGATTTATCAGAAAGAGTGATCTGAAGAGACACGGAACAACTCACCCCGGGGAGAAGCCGTTTTGTTGCAATGTGTGCGGAAAGCGATTTACCCTCAAAAGTGATCTAAAAAGACATGGATCAAGTCATCCAGGAGACAAACCTTTCAGTTGTTCTGAGTGCGGCAAAGGATTTACTCTGATGAGCAGTTTGAGGTCACATGAAAGAATTCATACAGGAGAGAAACCATTTAGTTGCTCTGTGTGTGGGAAAGGATTTACATTAAAAAGTGATTTAAAACGGCATGAAATTATTCACACTGGAGAGAAACCATTTAGTTGTTCTGAGTGTGGCAAAAAATTTACTCAGAAAAGCAGTCTGAAGACACATGAAAAAATTCATAGTGGGGAGAACCCATTTGGTTGTTCTGAGTGTGGTAAGAGGTTTATTGAAAAGAGCTACCTCAGGAGGCATGAGAAAACACATGCAAGAGCAAAGGCATTCATTTCTGACTAAAGTGAAACCAAAGAATGCCAGCGTCTTGACAGACAGTTCATATCCTGTTCATGTTTCTGATGTTTTTTGGAGAACAGAAGGTCAGAACTATAAAAAGAAATTTGAAAGAATGCCTGAAGAATCTCTTTTAAAATGTCGGTGCCAGTGCTTGTGTTAGAGCTGACTTTCTGATATTTTATTTTACAGTAGGTACTTTATCTCAGAACAGTACAGAGAACGTCAGAAGGAGCTACATTGTGTATTTGTAAATTTAAAAAAGGCATATGACAAAGTGCCAAAGGAGGAATTGTGGTTTTGTGTGAGGAAGTCAGGAGTGGCAGAGAAGTATGTTAGTTTGGTGCAGGACATGTATGAGAATAGTACAACAGTAGTGAGGTGTGCTGTTGGGAGGACAGAAGACTTCAAAGTGGAGGTGGGACTACATCAAGGATCGGCCCTGAGCCCCTTCTTGTTTGCTTTGGTGATGGACAGATTGACAGATGAGGTCAGACAGGAGACATGTGCAGAGGAGGGACAGTGGATACATTGGTAGAAGAATGTTAGAGATGGAGCTACCAGCTAGGAGACAAAGATGAAGGCCAAAGAGGAGATATATTGATGCAGTGAGGGAGGACATGCAGATAGTTGGAATCAGAGTAGAAGATGCAGAGAACAGGGAGAGATGGAAATCAATGATTCGCTGTGGCAACCCCTGAAAAAAAAGGGACAAAGCTAAAAGAAAAAAAAAAGAAGACTTTAGCTCAGAACCGTAGGTACATGGTTCCTATTTCCAAGCAAGGGACTTGGAAGAGAAAATCTAGGGAATCTTTCAATAACTCGGTGTTAGCTTAATTATTCGCACTATTTTCTTCATCTCAGTGCATATTTTGACTGCATAGCAGTCTCTTAAGTAGTGCTGCTTATAAATGGCATTCAAGGTCACACGTGTGTGACCAGTTGACAGGAAAAACTGTGGCAGTAATATTATATTAATCTGACATCAGAGTCCATTGTTACTACAACAGGTGGCAAGTTCACATTGTTCTATGTACAATTTTTAAGTTGTATCACACTGTTCAGCCAACAAATTATCTGCTAAAAAAGTTAGAAACTGTTAACATTTGTATTTGTTTAATGGTTGTTTCTCTCTAAAATTTAGAGAGTCAGAGTTGCAGCTCAAATATATTCACTTGCATTTTAATACTACAAAGCTGCTTTAATCAAGATTTTTTCAGCTGAATGGGAAATAAGTATGTACTATTTTGTAATACATAGCAAGTTTTAATACATTATCCCATTAAAGTTTTATCATGACACAAACCTCACAAAACATGTTTCACAATGCTGTTTTGTCCTTGAAATATGACTGGATAGGCCAAATCTTAGAGTATTGAATATCGTAGTCTCCGTTGTTGACATTTTTCCCAAAGTAAAAAAAAAAAAAAAAAAAAATTTGTAACAGCTGAAATTAGTTATTGAGAAGTTATGACTCCCCCTTAGTAAAAATGAATAAACTGAGCAAAACGTGGATGTGCTTCCATTTGTTATCTTTATCGAGGTTGGATTTTATGGTTTTCCAGCACAATCTGTGGAAGATGCTCCCAACCCTGGGAATTGCAGAAAGGTGGCGTAAAACAGCTGCAAAACTACAAAACAGAGCAATATGATAATGCAGGGGTCGGCCATCCGGAGCTCCAACAGCATGTGGCTCTTTCACCCGTCTGCTGCTGCTCCCTAACTGTAATTTTAAATAATAAAAAAATGTGGTGCTGTCGTAAAATTAAAATAAAAAAACGTATTTTGTTTTTGTCTCTCAAAATACACATCACAGCTGCCGAAAAGTGACACTTGTCACAATTTATCCACTTGTCAACCACATGGAACGCGACATTTAATGGGTATTAAAAATATTTTCTAGCCCTGATGAGAAAAACAGAATAGAATGTATGTTTGTCGATATTGAAACACGATGTATAAATGACTTGATTTTGTCAGGCATAGCAAAAGGCAACTATCTATCCGCCACTAAAATGCTTATCTATCTGTGGTTTGGAGTAATTTCAAAGTGTTGCCCTCGGAAAGCAATAATTACATTTACGATTTGTTAATAGTACAGAAACCGTTACTTTAGCGACGAGAAAACTGTCGTTCATCAATAAATAAAGAGGCAATGACTTGTGAAAGGTTATTGTCCATTAATACACGTATTTTCTTTTATCGGTCTACCGAAATTGTACTTTTTCTTCCCTACTTCCTTTTACCGAAAATATACTTCTTCTCTACTTCCTTTAACTAACCCTGAATTTATAAACAGACCCATCTGCTGGTCACATTTGGTAACACAATTAAACATTACATCTCAGCACAGAACCAAAACGTCTTCCTTCGCTTCTTAAATTTGAATCTCTCTTATCGGCAGCAGCTACACGCAGGGCCAAGATTATAATTTCAATGAGCCTCATTAATGGGTTCTTGTGTCATTTATCAATTACTTGTTGCTTTTCAAACTGAGTAAGATAAAGCATGCATGTGCATTTTAAAATTCGGAATATAGTAAAGACATCATTTGTAGTAAGGACTTTAAACCAATAAAATGCTATATAAATACATCCACACACAAAAACAAGTAGATGGTAATACTGGTGGAGGGAATGATGGGAACGTGAAGAACAATGAAGTATGTCTTTTTTTATTTCTTGTTTTTATTCTTCATTCAGACTGATCCCATAAGCCCCATCTTTGACACGAGGAATGTGTGCAAGCTTGTTTTGGGGGGTGGCAACAGGTCAATCTTGTTTGTACCTGCTCCCCAACCTGTATCTGGGGACTGTTGAATTACCATTTCAATAATTCCTCTTGAGCCCAGAAGCAGCAGCCACATGTCAAAGCTTAGGCTCTGTCTGCTTTTTAGGTCTTCTTCAGTGTTGTGTGTGAAGGTTAAAAACCTCTTTTATGTGACCTGGTATGGTCAGGTCATTAGCAATCGCATGGGGGTTGGGCCACACAGTGGGGGTGCCATGCTATGGGAGAATACAGAGGACATTAGTATGGCTTGGACAAGGATCAGGACACTCACTAATTACTTTGGTGAATCATTGGGGCTGCGTTTGAGCAGATGTGTGTCTAAGAGAGCAAGAATAAAACATCTGCTTTTCTTAATTATTACGTTTTTAAAGGATCTGAACTTTTGTTTGCCTTTAATTTATTAAGTAGTACTTAGAATGGGATTTTTTTTTATGACTCTGTTTATCACAAAATGTGTCTGATTGAAGTTTCTTCACACACATTCCTGAATAAGGGAGGTGAAATTAGGTGGAAAGCACAAAATAAAGTGTCAATGTGTAGTTAATGTTCTGACATAAATGTGAAGAGAAAGTAAATATGTCAATATGTCAACACTTTCAGAAAAAAGTGCAAATTATCTACTCTAAAATTCAGTACATTAAATGACTGCCCCTTAAATATAAGTCGCAGCATGTGTTTTAGTTTGTAAATGTCATGTTTAAGCCTGGAATTTTTAAAAATATAACAATATTATTATAAATGTAGATTATTTAACTGGAAACATTATTAAAAATTTGTAAAAACGTTTGGTCATATTCATCAAGACTTTCTCCTTGTAACTAAGGCAGCTGTGTAACCCAAGCGCTGTCCTCAGTTTTCCCTCACTCAGTGCTTCAATTAGTTACTGTCTGTTTGTTTTGTCAGCTTGAACCTGTGTTTATACTAAGACGTGCACTTTACTCATTTTGTAAAAGTACCAAAAGAATGTGATGGGGAGCGAGAAAAGGATTGGTGGTTGGTTACATGGTATTGTCATGCGGCACAAAAATAGGTCTATCAGTTACACTCAGATAACCCCTGGCTGTCATTGGACCACAAACCAAGCTGTGACCTGGGGGGGTTGAACTCTGGCGGTCATGTGACTAGGCAGTAATGTGGCCACTGGTGTTGTGGGGCTTTGCTTGTGGTCAGAGAAGAATAATCTGCCGAAGAGGCTTGTAGGCAGTGAAGGAGAAGCAGCCATGAGCAAGTGGGCCTGGTGGCCTTTCCTTAACACAATTAAAGCTTGAATTGAGCCGAGGTATTCTGGAAGAAGCATGAAATGGATACATGGGAAGGTAAGAAGAAAAAAAAGAATGAATGAAGCTATTCCTTTGTTTCCATCTGTTGTTTTCAGCATATTGATATGTACAGTAAAAATACAGTTGTAGATCAGGTGCTGGTTTTTTTTAGTAAGCCATGAAATGAACAATGGGCTTGATCTACTGAGACTAGGAGTCATTATCTATTTATTGTCTTTTGAGAATTATTGTAGTCCTTACTGTTTAATTTCAGTGTATCTGTATAAAACCATTAGAATGACCACAAAAGAGTATATTAGTGAACGCTCAGTGGCTAATTTACAGTAGCTTTTATTGCAAAGCTTAACTATAAATGTAAAGCAAATAAATCTTACACATCACTGTTTTTATCTAATATTTTATTTCTGGTTTTAGTCCCAGATATTCTGCTGTCTAGATTGTATTAGCTAAAGGTTTTAGGTTTTATTTTACATGTTGGTCCTGTGGAGTGTGACCAGCTAATGTTATAATTAAAGTAATAATTTTGCAGCAGCCTTTTGTAACGGACACCTCCAGCTTTGTTGCTTTTTCCATATGTGGTAGTTTATATCTGTATGTGATTGTGACTTTTGAGACTGTGCCTGAATTTCTTGCGTATTGGTGCAGGCCATCAAAATTTATGTGATGCTTCAGGCTCTTTTTGTTGAAAGTTTCTGTTTCTTTCTTTTGATGCAACACTTTAACCTTTTTTTTCTTTTTTGAATATTAATGGGCACTTTACAGATGTAGTTGATGTTTCCTTGACCTGAGTTGGCAGTGTGCTCCCCGAAACTGCTTTTAGCTCATCTCGCTTTTCACTTGAATGAATTATCCCAAGTGCTACTGTAAAATAACCTTTCCTGCCATTTTTAATTCTAAATTCCACCGGGGACACCCACTCTCTCTCTCTCTCTCTCTCTCGCTCTCCCTCTCTCCCCCTCCTTCCACGGACATTGCAAGAATTTGGAATGTGATCCTTTCTCACTCTAAAGATATATTCCACATGTCTAAGCCAAAGAGAATCACTCAAACGGTTCTCTGGACTGTTCTGTCATTTATGTGTGCTCTGTGATAACACGTGTTTATCTCACTCTGTTCCTCAATCAGTAGCAGTGATCCTATTTTCTAGTTGTATCCAGTCTAGGGACAGAAAAAATATTTATTTGCTTTCCACCGTGGCATCTCCTCACGTAGCTCAGTGTGCTATGTTCGAATTCAATTGTTATAACTGGATTATTTTAGTGTCTAACAGAAAA